ATTTTTAATTTTTTTTTAATTAATCACGGGCCGGTCCGTGTGGATGGGGCTCGGCTCGTTGACATCCGAAACATTCCAATTTATGACTTTTCTCTTGGAAAAGTCACAAACAGTAAAAAATGTCTCATTTATGGACCAACTTTTCATTTGCATCCCCTCAAAGACTTCGCAGAGTCTTCCCCTACTTTTTGAGTCGTTAATTATAAGTTACATATTTTATTTTAACTTTTTTTAACAAAAAATGTATTTTCTCTTTATATATCTCAATTGTCCTTGATGAAAAAAGCAACACAAAAACAATTAGCACCCACAATAATCATGTCCTGCTTTGCTCTCCTCTTCTGCTTCTTCCTCCGCTTCCTAACCACCGCCCTCTCTGCCGCTCCTCCTTACCGGCCCAAAGACCAAATCCTCCTCTGCTGCGGCTCAGAGTCAAGTAGAACAGATGACAACGAACGTAGTTGGGACGGTGATGCTCGTTCCAAGTATGCACTTCCAAACATCGCCACGACGTCTATAGCCTCCGAACCAACAGAACAAGTCCCTTCTGTCTCGAATCTCGCCCCTTACACGACAGCTCGTATTTTCCAATCCCAGTTCACCTACACTTTTCCAGTCCAGGCCGGACCCNCAAGTCTCTTCTGTCCCGAATTCCGCCCCGTACACAAGACCTCGTATTTTCTAATCTCAGTTCACGTACACTTTTCCAGTCTTGGACGGACCCAAATTTCTCCGCCTCTACTTTTACTCCACCACCTACTCCAACCTTGATAAAAACTTCAACAAAAATGAATCCTTCTTTACCGTCACTGCCAATGAATTCACACTTTTGAGCAATTTCAGTGCGTATCTCACATCCACACACTCTGAACCCTTTATGAAAGAATTCATCATTACTGTAGAGGATAATCAGAGACTTAATGTTACCTTTTCACCTTCTCCAAAATCTTACGCGTTTATCAATGGGATTGAGATAGTTTCAATGCCAGACACCCTTTACTTCCGTGGCAACCCCATCAAATTCGTGAATCAACAGTATGAGCTGAAAAATACAACCGTGTTGGAGAATCTTTACAGGTTCAATATAGGAGGCGCTTATGTCGGAATAAAAGAAGACTCGGGGATGTTTCGTGAATGGATTAAAGATGATCCCTATATTATTGGTGGAAATTTTGGTTACTCACCTCATAGACAAGATTTTCCAATCAATTACACTGAACACACCCCAGCTTATACTGCACCGGAAATAGTTTACACTACCTCAAGAGTAATAGCAAACGGAAGTAAAAGTTTGGAATGGAGTTTTCCTATTGCTTCCGGGTTTTTCTACCTCCTCAGACTCCATTTCTGTGAGATTCAGCAGGAAGTTACCCTTCAAAACGAAAGGGTTTTCACAATTTCAATCAACAATCAGACAGCAGAAATTGAAGCTGATGTTATTTTCTGGACTAGTGGCACTGGAATTCCTTATTTCGAAGACTATGTCACCTGGGTTAGTGATGATGGCAGCCATGGAGAGAAAAACCTGGGCCTTTCTTTGTTCCCAAACACTATGCACCATCCTATGTACAACAATGCGCTCTTAAATGGCTTAGAAATCTTCAAACTCAGTAAATCTAGTCATAGTCTTGCTGCAGCCAACCTGGAACCTATTCTGAATTCTTCACCGCCAGGACCAGATATTAGCTCAGAGAAGAAGAGAAGTACAGATACGTCTCATGTACTTTATCCTGTTATTGGGAGCGTGACTGGCTTTGTTCTTGTGCTATTATTAGTCAGCTTCATGATTTTTCGGCACTGCCAAAGGGTGAAAGACTCGAGCACAAATGCCCCGAAGTCATCATGGGTCCCACCTTCATCCAAGTCAAAATCAGCCACGAAGACCAGTGGTTCGGGTTCATCGTTATCTTCTGAACTGTGCCGACATTTTTTGTTGGAGGAGATTAAATTTGTGACGGATAACTTTAACGACAGTTTTGTGATTGGAGTTGGAGGATTTGGTACGGTGTATAAAGGGTACATTGACAATGGTGCAACTGCAGTCGCAGTCAAGCGATTGAATCC